TTTTTTTTTTCTCATTGGAGATACCTGGCTTATGTCTACTGCACTTTGTACTCCAATTTGTACAGGTAATTTCTTAAGGTATGACATTTTTGAAAAACCTGTCTTCACTGCACATTTTTTTTTAAATCACTGGCAGAATGTTTTTTAACCTGAAGATTGGCATCAAGGAGCTCATTTCAAGGTGTCCCATATTGATGTATTGACAGAAGCTGTAGTGCAAAGACAGAAGGAGTACCACTTGGATTTTCATTCTGAGATGGAGAGCACATTTTGAAGTCAAATGTCTAAAAGCAACAGGATACTATTTAGTGCACATTTTTTTACAGGTTAAAAATAATTTTTCTTTGTAATTCCTTTGTCATTTTTTTAACTCCTTCAAATGAACTGGAGGCTAAATATACGTGGATTGTAAAGCCAGGATGGACATTTCAGACAATTCCACTCCTGTCGCGGCCACATTTCCATCCACCTTACAACCTAATTCATCTGCAGATGGTGTCAACCAGACCGCCTCTTCGCTGGCCAAATCCCCTCCTCTTCCTCCTCACTCGCAAGTGGCGTCGGTGTGCATTGTGTTGGTAGTTGCAGTCATCATCTTGGGAACTGTGGTGGGAAACGTGCTGGTGGTGGTGGCTGTTTTCACCAGCCGAGCCCTTAGGGCCCCTCAGAACCTCTTCCTGGTGTCTCTGGCTTCGGCGGACATCCTGGTGGCAACCCTGGTCATCCCCTTTTCACTGGCCAATGAGGTGAGTTCTTATAGATTGCTCTGCTGAAAAAGTGACCTTTAAAAATGGGAATATGTTATCACTGTATATCAAAGAAATTAATTTTATATGATTTGTGGTTTAACTGGAAGAAAATCAATAAATGATTTGTAGAGAAAGGTTGTATTTTATAGTGTGTGTCCCTATAGAGTTGTCCCGTATTTTCATGTTCTTATGTTCCTCTGACCACCTGTCCCTGCTGAAAGGTTGCAGCATGATGCTGCCACCACCATGTTTTATCCTTGGGAATGTTGTGTTCAGGAAGGTGTCCAGTAGTAGTTTTCCTCTTACAGTACAGTATGTTAACTAAAAACTCAGACTTGGGCTATTTGACCATAGCAGCATCTTCTAAATGATTGCTATGCTTCCTATGGATAAATTCAAGCTGCCAACAGGAATTTCTGTGGAATTCTTTTAAAAATCTCTTTCCTATTGCTACGCTTCTTAGGCAGGTCATGTTTTTACTCTTGTTTTGCTTATGCTTTTAACAGCTGCATTTATACTGCTATGCAAAAATTACTCTTGGGTGAAGTATTTAGCTGATTTTAAAGGCAATTGGTTGGGTTCTATTTTGGTGGTGATCCAAGTATCACTAGGCATATCTCAATGATTTTTCTCATTTTTACTCATAAAAGAAATATTTTTGTATCCTCTCCTTTTCCAATTCACAAATGTGCACCAGTATTTTTTTCTTTTTTTTTTTTTTTGGTGTTTCTCATTAAAACACAATAGACTTTGAATTTAAATCTTCAAATAATCAATTAAGTTCTAATCCAGTTCTCCAGGGAGACTGTCCAAGACTTGGATGGATGGATGGATCGCTTCTCCAACACACCTAAATCAGATGGCTGTATTTGCTCATCAGCTGTTGTTCAATTCTCCAAAGAAATGCAATCAAAGCATTAATTTGATTCATGTTTCCACCCAAAAATCGCAGAGTGGTAGCTTTCCAGGCCTGAATCCCTCCCCCACAGGCTTAATCTTAATGACCAAGCAAATATTTTCTTGCAAAAGGGTAAGGTTATGAAAAACATCAAATTCTTCAATGTTCCACTGGAGCCCCATTAAATCCATCATCTTGAAATAAAAATTTGTTACCACAACAGTCCTGCCAAGAGGAGGCATCACGGAAAGGAAAGCTAAACCCGAAGAAGTTAAGAAGCTCAACAGAGACTAGAGTTATAGCAGTAAACTGAAAAGAAAAAGCAATTATTTCGTTTTAACTAAATTCACTTATTTAGCACAAACCCAACAAATCCCAAGAACTTATAAACATGGTGGTGGCAGCATTATGTCATGGGGATGTTTGTTAGCAGCATCGGGCTGGGAAACTAGTCCAAGCAGCGGGGAAGATGGAGGGTGCTAAAAACAAGGATATTCTTGATTGTAGCCTGTGTCTTTGTCAGTCTGCATGTGGGTTAAAACCTGATTGTTTGTTTCACAATAAAAAAAAACAGATTACAAATGTTGAAGGAAAGTTCTGTTAATGAAATGGTGCAAACTCTTAAACAATCCACTTTACCTCAAGGTTGTGAGGCAACAAAACCTGAAAAAATGCAAAAGCATGCTTTTTTAAGACAAGGTAAAACAGTTTTGGAGTCTTGTGTTATATAACACATTTGCAGACACTCCGCTATTTGCTCTGAAGAACAGTAAAACAAAAAGCTCAGACTCTGCTGAAACACAGGAGAGGAGTTGCCTTATGAAACCTTTTTGTAACCATATTTACTGTAAACAAAATTATTTATACTGGGTTACATTGCTGTTTATGTGATTTATTTTCCTTCCATTGCACCTGATGATATAGATAAAAAAAGGAAAAAAGTTCTGCATGCCTAAGAGAAAATTGTTAAGGTAATTCTAGTAACAGGCTCTGATACTGTCTGGAGATTTGAGCACGTAATTAAATTTGCATTAGGATTTCCCTTTAGTGTGGGCACACTCCCTGCAAGAAACAGTTGGATAGCCAGAGGAAACAAGCTGATTTAACTCCAATTTGGCATGCATGCAGATCAGTCATGGGTATGTAAAGCCTTCATCCTGGGTAAGTTTAGCACAGGCACCGAGAGGAAGAGGTGATTTCATCATGAGCTTAAGGATATCTTTACCAGAGAGTTGCTGGGGCAGCAAACACAAAGGATAATTCATAAAAAAAACTTAAGACTGTATAACTAGCTGTAAATGGAGTTTTAATAGTTGCATTTGGAGGTTGCAGTTCTCCAGTGTGTGGGCTGAATAACATATGGGACCTGTGGGCTTAAACGTTTGTTAAAACAAACAATGAAAATAAAACATAAAATCAAATAAGGATCGATCAAAATGTGATTACTTATTACAATATGGAAAAATAAATTAGCTTGCATCAATGTACAATCATCTGCTGTTTCTGTTGGAATCAGGTGGAGAAATGTTTACAAGATGCATTAGTTTCTGCAACTGAAGAAACTCCCAGGGCATGCATGGCACTCTGGATCAATGAGATTATTTCGATCCACCAGCTTCCACCCGTTTGTGCAAAAGATAACCAAAACAAATTTAACCCTAGGGCGTCAAAAAAAAACATGTTTTATGAATAAAACATGATGACATACATACGAAGAGGCTCCCTGAAGTATTTGGAGAAATAAAAAATACATGAAAACAAAACCACTATCATCCATCCCGCAGGTTTGTTGAAGCTCATAATTTTAAGGTTTTACTTTGTAGACATGCAACAAATTCTTATTATTTCTAGTGCTAAAAAATCACAGATACAGTCCATATTTAAGGATTTCATGTAAATAATAGCTTAACATGGCCTCGTGCAATTCACAAATATCCTTTGCAACACCTAGTTACCCTCTAGTAAAGCTAGATGCTTCCTTTTAAAGGTGTTGCAAAGGATATTTGTGAATTGCACGAGGCCATTTCTCCTCGTGTACGCTCTGTTTAAAGGGTTGCTGTCCTCATAGCTCATTCAAGCTTACTGTGGTTGAACGTCCGCTCTAACCCCTAAATCCCTCAATCACTATAGAGAACGGGGACTATATAGAGGAATTTATAGCAAACTCAGTTAACTAACCGTTCAGACAGATGATCAATGCGGAGAGCCCTCCGTGCAAAGCATGCCGGGATATATCTGCCTCTTCTGAGGCCTTTCTTTTCTTCTCATACACTTCATAGACACTTTTTCTCTCACGACCCAGAGTCACTTTCAAAGAACCACGGTGAGAAAGGTGAGCATCAATGTCCGTCTGAAACCATAGCTCACCACACATATATGCCTGAAAGTGCGCATGCGCAGAAGATCGCTTTCGGGACGAGCATGTAGGGTCGCCTTACATAAACATATAAACCAGATTTATTGACAAGTAGGAGGACCAATTATTTTGATGATGCACCAAGAAATAAAAGATTGTCCTCTATACCTTCAAAATGATGAGTCCAAAGTAAACCTGCTTGTTTGCTCTACTGCCTCCTAGCAAGAAGGTTGCAAAACACTGAATTATATTGCTGCTAAAAAGTGCTATACAATAATTTTTTTTTTCTTTTTTCTTGACTTACATTTATATTATTTTTCTAGTTAGTATAGATCAGGGGTGCCAGAATCCAACTTTTAAATGTGTCTCTTCTCCAAGAAAACGGAATAAAATCACTTAGCAATCTTTACTGTGTAGCAGGGATGCAACGCAATGCTTCATAACAGTGGATCGATAACATCGATCATCCTTTAGTTTTTTTTTGTTTTTTGTTTTTTTAAGATATTATAACTGAACCTAAAAGTTGATCATACACTGAAATTCAAAGGTCTTTTCTTACATTTCTACCACTGTGGGCACTTTGAGCAGGGAATGCAACAAGTTTTGAAATAATCCTGCTGTGCTGAAGATGAAAGAAAGGTTGTTTGTAGAGCATGCTCAATGATAAATGCATTGTAAAGTTGTGCAGCTTTGATCAGTTTGACAGCTTTAAAATATTGAACAATGAAATGACATATATAAAACATCATAGATACGAAATAGGGTATTCAAAGTAATACGACTGCTACCTTCAGATCTTACTGGAATGGTTGTGTTGGCCTTAAGTTGCATTTGCTAAGTCAATGTAACCTGCTTTTTTATTGGCAGAATAGTTTTCTACAGCTAATGTTAGAGCTGAGATCATCAGACGAGACAAAGGAGCAAAATGAAACCAAACAGAAAAAAAATCGGAGATAGTTTCAAATATTGAAAATATTGTTTACTGATTTGTTATCATTAATTGATATAATGATGGGCCAACATAAAAAAAACAAAATTCAACCAGGTATATAAAAGAAAACAAAAAAATTGCTTTCTAGTTGAGGGAAAACCCTTTCCCCAATAGCTATTCTGAGTCCAGTTTGGCTGAAATAACCTCAGTGATATTCTTCTAGTGGTCTGCCATCTCTCACATCAGTCTGAGAAAAGTTTTCCCTATTTCTCACTTATAAGCTGTAAGTTGTTTGAGAGGTTTCCCTGCATGTTTAGTCCTTTTAAAATCCCTGTACGGATTCCCAATCAGATCATGATCTGGGCTCTTTTAAGGGCTGTCTGTTCTTTCTAAGACCGAAGCAGGAGCTTGGTTCGCATTGCCAGCAGCAAGTCAGACCTGCTCCCGGTTCTTGTTGATCCCTTGCCACGGCTGCCCTTTGTCACTGCTTCTGTTCATTACATTTATGGACTGAATTTCAAGCGCCGCCAGGGACCTGAGGGTGTCCGGTTTGGGAACCTCAGGATATCATCTCTGCTGTCTGCAGATGACGTTGTCCTGTTGGCCTCATCAAACCAGGACATTAGGCGTACACTGGGGCAATTTGCAGCCAAGTCTGAAGCAGCCGGGATGAGGATCAGCACATCCAAATCCGAGGCCAAGGTGGACTCCACTCTTCAGGTTGGTGGAGAGCCCTTGTCTCAAGTGGAGGGAGTGAGGGATGGAGCGGTGTGGTGTCTGCAGTGATGCGGTCAATGTATCAGACAGTCGTG